GAAGCTTATGTTGCATACGGTTTTCTTTAGTTTTAATTTGCCTAACTATCGATCTGACCCAGTAGATGCCATAATCCCACTCTGTCTCTCTCCCGCTTTCCGTTTTTTTTTTTGTTAAATGGTGGGTGTTTACGCAGTTGGCTAGAGCAGTGCTGATTGTCTGTCTGTCTGTGTGTCTATCTATGTCTCTGTCTATCTATCTCTGTCTGTCTGTCTGTCTATCTATCAGTCTGTCTGTCTGTCTATCTATCTATCTGTCTATCTATCTATCTATCTCTGTCTCTGTCTATCTCTGTCTGTCTATCTATCTCTGTCTGTCTGTCTATCTATCTGTCTCTGTCTGTCTGTCTATCTATCTCTATCTATCTATCTCTGTCTGTCTGTCTGTCTGTCTATATCTATCTATCTATGTCTGTCTGTCTGTCTATCTATCTATCTATCTATGTCTCTGTCTGTCTGTCTGTCTATCTATCTCTGTCTCTGTCTGTCTGTCTATCTTCAGTTTTAGTTTTAAGAATTTAAGTACTTTAACTTAATGCAGGAATACACTGCACAGATTTTTTTCTAGATTTTTGCCCTGATTTAAAGTCAAGGAAGAGTTGATTATAGTTGCTAAAGTTCAGAGCCATTCTGGATAATTTCTGGCCTTCAGAGTTGACAGATTTCACAGAAAATCATGCAGTGTATGATGGGCACAAGACTCTGATTTGTATTATTATTATTATTAAGCCTATTAATTATGTTCTTTTCTTTTATTTATATATTTGTTTTATTTATTTATTTTATTTTATATGATCCTCAGTAATTTAGTGTATGATGCCCAGCTTTAAATATCCAACTGTTTAGAAAGTATAGTTTTAACAGTTTTAGTTAACCATAAGCACACTGTTTGAGGCATCAACATGCCCAAAACTCACACATTTGTATCTGTTTGTAGTTAGCAGGGCTGAAGGTGCCAAACCAGCAGTTTGCCGAGGCGGTTAAACAGCCTGGGATTGTGTTTGCGGTGGCACGTTTTGATGGCATTCTGGGCATGGCATACCCCGCCATTTCTGTAGATGGGGTTACGCCGGTGTTTGACACAGCCATGGCTGCCAAAATCCTGCCTCAGAATATCTTCTCTTTTTATATCAACCGGTAAGCCTCTTTTTTTGCTCATTTCAAGGTTCATTTGACTGGTTTTTCAAATCGTTTAGCAACATGGTGGACATTTAATATTGACATGGGAGAGTTTGGAAAGGAAACAACATTGTTTCCCTTACCTGAGGTTCCTCTCTTTTCTTCTCCATTTCCTATTTATAATGGTGAAGAATGTGGCTACAAATGTAGACTGATAGTGTGACCTTCAGTATGAAAGAATTGTATTTATTCTTGTGTTAAACGATAACGCATGACGCCTATTGCTGCTTGCAGAGCAGTGCCGCCCCTTTCTTGCTTTTCAAAGCGCATGTGCATGTTACAGCCAATTTATCACACTATAGTCAATTGTTCTGTCTGTATAAAAAGCCTCTTTTACTAACTGAATGATTCATGACTAAAACGTGCACATGTGGGTCAGGCTTTGCCTACATTTTGGGGACCGAGATGTGTAACATTTTAAAATCACTTGCGTTGTAGGGACTGTCATCGCAGTGGCTTAAAAATGCTAATTCTTGTTAATAAATGTTGTGTGTATGTGTAGGGACCCCGTGGGTGAAGTTGGAGGTGAGCTGATGCTGGGAGGTTTTGACCAGCAGTATTTTGACGGTGATCTGCATTACGTCAATGTCACACGAAAAGCCTACTGGCAGATAAAGATGGATGAGTATGTGATTACCATTACTATACAAGCCATGTTGGTTTTTAGCCAGATTAATATTGGTTTACTAGAATGTTTTTTTTGTTGCTGCAGTCAGTGTTTATGATGGCTGCAAACTGGCTAATAAATGACTTCTTGCTTATACTGGTTGTTTTCCAACAGAGTTCAGGTGGGTGGCACGCTTACCCTCTGCAAAAATGGATGCCAGGCAATTGTTGACACGGGAACATCAATGATCACGGGGCCGGTTCAAGAGGTGCGGGCGCTTCAGAAAGCCATCGGAGCCATACCACTGCTCATGGGAGAGGTGAGGAGCATTCCTGCTAAAATAGATCTTCTTCAAAACGTATAAATTAAATCATTTTATAATGGTTATTCTTTATTTATAAATTATTTTATTTTGATTTTTTTTGTCATTTATTTCCTTTTAATTTGCTGACACTTTCATTGCAAAGTATTTCCAGCATAAATTGAGGAAGTTGTAAAGTGAGCATTTCCTCTTTTGTAGTACTGGATTGACTGTAAGAGGATTCCATCACTTCCTGTTGTTTCCATGAGCCTGGGAGGGAAGATGTTCAACTTAACTGGAGAGGACTATGTTCTGAAGGTGCATCATCCCCCTCTTTACAGAATCTGGTGTGGTTTTTCTCTTACTCTGCAGAGGTTGGAAAGGGACGTTACAGAGGAACATACAACGTTATGTTGAACATACAAAGTCCTTTTTACATAGAAATGCAATTTCATGGAATAAATTGCCTCATTCCTTGACGTGAAAGATTAAGTTGGTGGCTAAAAGATGCTTTTTTGTGTGTGTATATGAAGTCACCTTTTTGGAAGAATAAGTTGCTCAATTAGTATGTGAATGTTTGAATAAATAGAATTTAATGTTATATATTGTGTAAGGGTTTGGGATACATTTTCTTCACCTTCATACACGCCTGCCTCCATCCATTTAAAAAAATAAGTCACCAAAAAAAGAAAAGAAAAAATGATCCTCTGCAGTGAATGGGTGCCGTCAGAATGAGAGTCCAAACAGCTGATAAAAACATCACAATAATCCACCAGTAACTCTAGTCCAACAATTAAAGTGAAAAGCTGCATGTTTAAAAGAAACCAATCCAACATGAACTTTAAACATGCAGCTTTTCACTTCACAAGAAGTTAACTGATGGACTGGAGTGGTGTGGATTACTTGTGGATTATTGTGATGTTTTTATCAGCTGTTTGGACTCTCATTCTGACGGCACCCATTCACTGCAGAGGATCCAGTGGTGAGCAAGTCATGCAATGATACATTTCTCCGAATCTGTTCCAATGAAGAAACAAACTCGTCCTGGTTGGCCTGAGTGTGAGTAAACATTCAGCAAATCTTCATGTTTGGTTGAACTATTCATTTAATTACATCAAGGACCACATTGCATAGGATGATTTTCTTTTTATTGTACACCGAAAAAAAATACAAATTTAAAATAAATCTAAATTTCTGTTGCTTTTATGTTTGGAATCTAATCAAATCTCAGGACGTTGATTAAAACTGCTTTGGAAATGAATGCAGCATTGATTCATTGAACACTTTAAATCAATCTTAACTCACTTCTATCTTTTCTCAGATGACTCACATGGGTGTGAGTGTTTGTCTGTCTGGCTTTATGGCAATGGATATCCCACCCCCCGCCGGGCCGCTGTGGATTCTGGGAGATGTGTTCATTGGCCGCTACTACACTGTGTTTGACAGGGAGGCAGACCGTGTGGGCTTTGCTCCTGCTAAATGAAAAGAGTGATAAAAATCACATTGTATTGTACTGGACCTAATGGGCCATTAGCAGCACAGAAACCACTGGTTGAAGTTGGTAAGTCTTTTACAATTTGAAATATGCAATGTAAGAAAATCAACAAATGCCTGCGTTACAGGACATGTTTTTCCAAGTATTAAACTCAAAGCAAAGCTGAAAAAGAAGAAATGAGACACACTTGTTGAGCTAGGGATGCTCTGTACTTCCCCCTTGAAGCCTTGCTTGTTTTTATTTTGCACTGTTTCAATAGATGAATGAAAAAACTATGCATTTTTAGTTTATAATGAAGCTATTAATTATCTTTGTAGAAAATTTAATAAAGATTGAATAAATTGCTGGTAGATGAATAGTATTTTGGATTTGTGGCATTCATATGTTTTTGTCAGTTGACTTTTGTATGTGTGTGTAAACCATTTTGATAATGTTGGTGTATCATACTCAATTTATCACACTGAAATGAATTGTATTTCTGTTAAAGCTGATCAAGACTACTTGGTTTCTTTATTGTCTGATCATTTAACTCAAAATCGCAGCAAAAGTTCTTCCAAACCTGAAGTTAAATAAAGTTTTGTTTGTAGTTGCTTGTTTGGTTTGTGCTCTGCTGTCTATAGTTGAATTTACTTTGAAAGATTTTTTTGTCTAAACTGCTCAACTGATGGTGGTTTTCCACTTTTTCTATTTTGTAATTTGTAAGCAGTTGATTTGATTGGTTGACTGCATCTCTAGCCCTACAGAAACAAGACATTGGTTAGTTCCTGCATACTGTGATAGTGTCAGTCATCTTCAGTTTCTTGTGATGATCCAAAACGTCCATCACATGACCTCTAGAGTCAGTTTAGCACATTACATTTAACATATCAATATTTACCTTTGGCTGAAATTCTGTCATACCACTGAGGTTAATTTGATTTGCCTTGAGCACAAATCTAATTTCAGTCAGAAAATAATGCTAATTCAACTACCATTTAAAAGTTTGTAATTTTTCAATGCAGCCTTGCTTGATAAAAGTATCAATTTCTTTCAAAAAAATAAATAAATCTGACCCCAAACATTGGTCTATGTCAGCTATTGGACTCAGAGACTTGCACAAATAATTCACAATAATGTTATAATACAGTTTCACTCCATTCGACTTTATTTTCATCCTTTGCTCTGTATTGCAGCACAAAGACCCGAGGCACAGAACAAATTATACAAATTGCTGTTTAATAAAAATACAAAATCACCAGGAAATGAAGAAACGAGTACACAAGCATCACATGCAAAGTACTAGGCCAAGCTGAACTGCACTGCTTTTGGATTCAGTGCTGCCTTTTCACATCATTCGCCAGGTAAATGTGTTTCTGCTACATCACACTGGTAGAGACACGTGTTCTGGTTACGCAAGCAAAATAAATGCTTCAATACATAAACGCAAGATCTCCTGCGAGTTTTGGCATTTCATATCGGAGACGAAGCCTATTGTATATTTTGTTCTAGCAAACGTCACTCTCCAAGCACAAAGAATGATCATAAGATACACAAAGAGTTTCACACTGGTTTTTGGTTACATCTGTACAATCAATACAAAAATACTAAAATATGTCTATGAAGTCTGTTTTTTTAGGCTCTTGTACATCATTTCAGTTCCCCTTCCTTATAACCCACAGCCTCAAAAAAGTAAACCGTGTTTTTGAATGATTCTATAGCTTTAAGGAGGTCTGCAACGGTTTCCTTGGTTTATTAGGCAGCTGTAATACAATAAAAATCACATCTGCTCTTAGTTTAGCCATTCTAAAGATGTGTTTTGATTATTAATTCAGGTATTTATCTTCATCTGGTTTCAGCAGTGTGGTAATAACTCGTGTCGACCATTTAAATAACATCATATCCATTCAACATTTCTGAGTTGCTTTTACAGGATAATGTAACTGAAAATAAGCAATTAGGTAAAATAGGTCATTTGCATATTTTAATGTCACAAACTGACAAGAAAGATGGAAATATGGGGGAGAAACATGATCTTTTTCTTAAACGTTATTATCACTATGCAATTGATTTTGAATAATGGACAGAAATCCTCTGAAAAATATTAAGTTATTTTAGGCATTTTTTACTGTGTTTTAATTTCATTTGCCTTCCAATAATTTAATATTTCAGAAAGTTGGTTTACTAAAAATAATTCAATTATACAATCACACCTTCAGCGTCAGAGTTGCAAGCATTTATGAAAAAAATCACAGGAAATTTAGTAACTGAAAGATAATTTAGAGACCCTGCCATCCGATTAATCTAAAACAGCTCTCTGTGTCATATATTTTTCTAAAGGAAAGTATTTTGACGAATCCAAGAACAAAATCTGAGAAAATACTGAACAACGTTCCACGTAAGGAATAACTGGCAAACATAAAATCATGAATTTCACAGATCAAATGTAATATGTCAAATTACCACCAGAAACTCATTGCATTTTGGGTAACAACAGAAACACATAAGACATGACGGTGCTTGAATCTATAATAAAATATCACTGAAGTTAGAATCTGATTCTTCACTAGATAAATATATAATCGTTATGATACTTCACTGTGCATTAGAAAAGTCAAAAACACTGAAATGATATAAGACGGGCCATATAAAATATGACCAACGGATGAGGTTGTAGAACCTGAAAATAACTTATGATGGTATGACTGACAAAAACAATTGAGGTTCCTGATCTACTCAGAACAAGACACGTATGAAAACATTGCCATTATTTTGGTTTGTGTATCAACTCAATTCTGTGCGGGGACCAAAAAGTGGTGGGCATATGTGCATGCGTGTTTTCTAAACAGTTCTCAAAAGGCTCTCTGGGTCAGACAATGCACAGTATAGTGTGTATCCCAGTTCATCTATTTCCTGTGGTGTTAGCTCACAGAACAGATTGACTTTGAGACTGAAGATGCAGGGTAACCTCCCAGCCTCTAGGTGTCCCACTAGTGCACGAAGCAGCTGCATGAAACGATCGGCGAGCGCTTCCTGAGTCCAATCGCCCTCCTGTTCGCTCAGGAGAAGGATTGCGTTAGTGAGCTGGCTTGCGTTTAATCGTGCCAGCGCTGGATTCAGTTTACACACGGCTTTAACGACTTTAAGACACGCGCAACGGCACCCGGCGTCTTCCTGATCGAGCGCACGTAACTTCGCCGTTTCCGCCACACGAAAACTCTGCCGCCACAGGTTCTCATGCCGTTCGGCGGCCAATCGATGCGGTTTGGCGATCAGCGAGACGCCGTCCTCCATAACAAGCAATGGGAGGAAGTCCACATAAAGGCGACGGTCCGTTTCGTACTGCACTTCTAGCGTAAGCGTTTCCGACGGGACCACGGGTCGGATGATGTAATCTAAAACACTACCGATGGCGGGCCAGTTGATGGAGCCGGCGACGAGCTTCTCGAAAACTTCTAGGACGCTCTTTGGGGAAAGGTAGCCACCCACCATGCAACGGTCCCAGTAGCTGCTTCCTCGTGGGAAGTACTCAAGGTTTTCCCGACGAACCAGCCAGAAGCCAGGAAGGTTCATGATGGTGTCCTCACCAGGAATGGATGACCAGAGATTCTTCTCAAGGATCATGGGTACCATCAGCTGGGCGTGGTCAGCAGTCACCACCTAAAAATGTGAAAAATAAAGATTGAGGGATGAATTACACAAAGGTTGCATTACATTGAACAAATGTGAGAGTAAAGACGTATAAAATGTTACAAAAGAGTTCTATTTTTAAATAAACTTTCTAAATTGAACCTTCTATTTATCAGAGAATCTTGATAGAATTCCACAAACATATTAAAGGGGACATCGGATGCCCATTTTAAACAAGTTGGTATGATTCTTTAGGGTCAAAACCCCTGCATTGCTAACGAGACATTGTTGTCGCTATGGTTGCTTAAGCGCACAGAAAATGGCGGACAGGGTACAACTTGCTGAGGGCGGAAATATGCTAATACGTGACAGTCCGTCAGTGGTTGTGGGCGGGGCTTGAGCAGTATGACGTCATACTGCTCAGAAAATTTTGGGCTTGATAATTGAGACCGTTTAGGTTTTTTGGGGTTTAAAAAAACAGGAGTGAATGGATTTTTATCATTGTAGGGTGTTTGTGTCCACACACTGCTTAGACACATTCATATGCAAACCACCATGTAGAAGTGAATTTTGCATCCGATGTCCCCTTTAAGCAGCACAACTGCTTTCAACATTGATAAGAAATGTTTCTTGAGCTGCAAATCAGCATATTAGAATGATTTCTGAAGGATCATGTGACTGAAGACTGAAGTAATGATGCTGAAAATTAAGCTTTGATTCACAGGAATAAATAACATTTTAAAGTATATTAAAATAGAAAATAATTATTTTCAAATGTAATGATATTTCACAATATTACAGTTTTTTATGTATTTTTGATAAATAAATGCAGCCTTGGTGAGCAGAAGAGACTTAAATTAAACAATATTTAAAATCTTACCAACTCAAAACTGTAGATTAAAAGCACTTAAATTAAAGGCCCTATACTCTTGCTTATTATGTGACAATTAAAACGCTCTCAGAACTGATCACACTTGTTCTCACCTGAAGGTCATCGTATAGACTTCCGCTGAGGTACATTTCTCGTAGGGGCATATCAGGCAGTTTAGCATGGAGAAAGACTCTGAGCTCTGCACAGATATCTAACGCAGCACGCCGAGCGACGGCCTGCTCTTCTGAAGGGATCGCCACTCGCTCTTGAAAGAAGGCCCAGAGGTGTTCCTGCAGCGAGAGGCGCATCCGTGCCTTCTGGAGTTCAGCCTTACCAGGATGGCCACCACCACGGCCCATAACACGATGTAAATAATCTAAACAAAAGAAGAAAACACAATATACTTATGACAATCAATTTAGCATACTTAAAACATTCTCATACCTTCCAAAGGTCAAAACCTGGAAGAATAATTCTACTTAATCACAACACTCAGCCTAAAGCAACACAATCTTTAGTCTTCCAGACACAGATTGAGACTAGTCTTGGACTATGTTGGAGAATAGATGACATAGGATGCTGAACTAGTCATTCAACAAACAATTGATTAGTGAGGATGATTTTGAAAATTTCCAATGCTTACTTCACAACGACTAGTCATTCAGACATGTCACCAACTAGTCAAAATGATTATATATATCCCTAATGCCCATACAACAAATGAAGGGTCTACAGAAACCTACAGTGTATTAGTTAAGGAAGGGTTTAAATACCCACTGAGCAAGTAGAGCAGACACTCCAACATGTACAAGCCAGGTAAACAATAAGGATACAGGTTAGGATAAGATAAACTAGGAAAAACTGTCCATGATGGCCCAGGATTAAAAATAAATGAAGAATTTGAATGAAAACAAAAAAATAAATAGATTTAAAAAAAAAAAACTCCTCAATCTATAAAGAGGAAATTCAATAATATGAAACAAAACTAAAACATAACGTTTGTGGTCATCAGGAAGTTTTTAAAAAAGCATGTTTTTTCATGGTTGTTGCATATAAAAGTACAGGATGTTAATTATGCAAGGCACCAGAGATTCATTACCTGGCTTGAAGGAGCTGGAGGAGGTGGGGAGCGTCTGTAGAGAGCGGCTGATGTTCTGTTTCATGTTCATGTTCAGTGTCCGTGGTGATGACCCCAGCCAGCTCGGCTCCTCCCAGCTTCTTCGTCCCGACGGGTCGGCTTTAGTGGGACTGGATGGGGCACTGAGTGCTCGATCGTACATCTGAGACAAACCAAACTCAATTACAGTGACGTGACATGTGGCCAAGTATGGTGACCCATAATTAGTGCTCTGCATTTATCCCATCCAAAGTGCACACACACAGCAGTGAACACACACACCGTGAACACACAGCCTTGCTCAAGGGCACCTCAGTCGTGGTATTGAAGGTGGAAGAGAGTCCACCTATTCACTCCCCCCACCTACAATCCCTGCCGGTACGAGACTCGAACCCGCAACCTTTGGGTTACGAGTCCGACTCTCTAACCATTAGGCCACAACTTCCCTTCTCTAACCTAATGGTTAGAGAAGGCACTATGAAGGGAATACCTTCATACCTTCAAGGGAATACCTTCATATTATACACTAATAATAATAATAATAAATCTACAGTGCTGGAAACAAAGCATTGACTTTTTTTAAAGGGATCTTTTTTCTGCCTCTCATGAGGTACACTTACAAGATTTCCTCTAAAAAACACCTTCATTACATGTGAAATAAGCTACAGAACTTGTGCAGGTCTCTTGCACGGGATATTAAAGGGGTCCTATTATGCTTTTTCACTTTTTCAACTTTAGTTAGTCTGTAATGTTGCT